ATAGACTTTACTACTGCTGCTTCTGATGCTCCTTTCCGGTCCTGTTGCCTTGCAAAATGTAAATAAAATCGCTCGAATTAACCGCTGAGTGACAGCTACAAGTGGCAGGAGACTTGCCACAAGGAGGAGACACAAAGGGAGTGGGATAGCGAGAGAGTTCTGTGTCATAACTGCCACGTCTTGCCCTTAGCCAAGTTCCTTAAGTCCACAGCGGCGTAAGTAAGTCGATAAATACCGCAACTGGTTCCAGGATATACTCAGGCCGAAGAGGAATCCCAGAAGCTCAGGAAACTTCAATTGTAAAAGAGAACTTAGAGAATATTCTTGAAGTAGGCTGAACAGATGAAGGGGAAAGTTCGAATACATAGCAAAAGAAAGCACTATATAACGGCATGCCAGGGGCAGGGCTTCATCACCATCTAGAATCTAGATGACTAAGACAGACCTGCATTGGTTGGCATCGTCATAAAGATGATTGTCGGTATACCTGGTGAGAATGGCTGGCTGTGTCAATGTTTGAACATCTTGCCCTTGCTTAGCTGATAGGGAAGCAATAAATTGCAGCCAGGGGAACTTTTTTCCTCAGGCAGCTCCCAATTCGCGACTGGGAATCACCAGAGCGCGCCCAGCGCACCAGAACTGAAATTGATAAAGCAGAGACGCGTTGATAAAGAAAGACGCAGCTGGGATCGCGTTGATGAACTGCAGGCTCCCCCCATTCCTCAGAACGTGCGCCTCAAAACACTTGCTCGATCAGACGACCCATCATACTTATTCGCGACGCGTCATCAGCGTTCGATCTACTAGGGTGTATGTGAGGGTTTTTAGATGAAAGCTCGCGACACGGTGTGCTTTTTGGTGGGATAAAATTTACCCGCGAGGAATTCCATTCATAAATTGAATCATTTTTCCACGTTATATGATACTCATTATTTCAAACAGGGTATATTTGTACACCCTAAGAGTTCAACACTCTTACTTAGTAATAAAACCAGAAAAACATACAAATTATAGCCCAACAGTTTATTGCTCAATTGCAATTATAATAAAAAACAGAACATTTTCTGTCTGAACAAGAGCTGAAACATTGTATTTCTCGTATACATTCATTGTATTTCTCGTATACATTTTTGACCCACTTCAATCAACAATGTACGAGAACCATGGGCCCCATCCCGTCTTCGAAGTTGCGACTGCGAAAATGATGACAATGTGTCTTCGCTTTTCTCAACTCCCACCATCGCACCACCGGTGCCGGTTTCCTGTTGCCAGTCTCAGCTGTTCCTTACCCCCACCATCAGCCAGCAACATTGATTTCCCATTGCCGGCCAATGGCGACAACTCCACTGCCACCTCCGCTGCCGCCGTCACTAGAGTCAACAATTGTTGTTGTTGGCCCACTGCGATTCGGCCGCTGTCGAATTTCATCTGCCGCGATCAACAATAGAATATGTTTTTTTAAGATTTATAATTCTAGATTTAAGCAGTCGAATTCTGATAATCAATAAACCTATTCCACCAATAAAACTGAACTAAAATGATTTTTTTTATCCTTTCAATAGGGACAATAGCTTGTATTCATGAATCAGAGGAATCCAGCAACTGTTGACAAACGTTTTACTATAAAGAATGTTGGCCTCATATATTTAAATCGGGGTATCGCGTATGCGTCAGGTCTTTCGTTCCTGCTTGTCTGCGTTCAAACCCATTGAGTAATCGCTTTTTGTTGTACTTTTTGCTCAGCTGTTCGGAGCCAGAGGCCAGGGGCCAAACGTGTTTGATGATTAATCCATTTCGCTTGTTCTCTAATGTTTGGCGGATTGACAGAACACGTTATTTCCCGTACTTTTTCGTTTCCTTCTTTGTCTTATTTGGATTTTGCTGTTACCTTAACATTTTGCATATAACAGTTTTTGGTTTGACCAAATAGTTAAGGAAACTTAGCTTGGTACAAATTTTTGGTTGTTGCTAAGAATGTGAATGGTTCCGCTGGTTGTTCAGATTCTTAGACTAATAGCCTGGGATTTAGGACCTACATTTGTGGTATTTTATTCTGCAAATCTCATTACTATGTACTATGTAGGAATAGGACCTCTAAAATGATAATGGATTTGCTTTGAAAAGGGCATATAATAATTTTAACGGAAGCCTATTCCATTCAGGAATCCGATCAATATTCTGTGCTTGTTCTCTAAAGGTCAATCGGAACTTTTGGCGTAGATTATATATGAAGTTACAGTAAAGTGTTTCTTTATTTACTTAGGAATTAATCATGGAGTTAAGTTTAGGGAAATAAATTAAATATGTTATAGGAAGACTGTTACTCTCTAAGGGCTCTCTCTTCATCCTCGGGCTGTCGCTGCCACATTGGCGGCCTGTTGAGCAATTCCCACAACCTGAATGGTGGCATCTCTGGTGTGCTGGCCAACGCGTTCCTAAGGATAATGATATGTGATATTTAAGGTTCTGTATGAATTATAGATCTGGTAATGTAATAGACTTACAAGTCTCTTGCCCAGTTTTTTCAGCCAGCCGGCTTCCGATTGGCCCACGCTGATGGCCAAAATAAGGGCAACAAAGATGAAGATCTTATAGAAGTTCATAATGAGAGTATTGCTGGGAGTATTGCTCGGATTGTAGAAAGCAAAAGTTGCTTATGCTGTTGATGTTGCTGGGAGAGGTGTGCGACTGATGACTTGACTACTACAAGAGGTTGCTTTTATAACGCGTTCCAACAGTCCAGCAGCTTTAAGCGATGCTGATAACCTGCAGTCGGGGGTTTTGTCTGGGGAAAAAGTTCAGGAGTGGGTTCGACGCAGATAAGAATCCCCTAAGACACCTGGGAGCTGGTAAGCTTTAGATCTTAATCTTTTAGATTTGTAGGCTTGCGGAAATTCCATTCGTATTTTTTTCGAGAATGGTCATGCGGGGAACTACAATACATATGTATGTATGTATTATGTAGCGTTATGCTATATGCATATCTATAGACGAAAGTGATTGTAATCTACAAATAACTATTTCAACCGAATTATATGTAAGCGCTGCACGTTTTTCTCAAAACTTCATAACAAAAGTTTGAAATGAATGAGAATCGAATAAAAAATTTAAGTGAAGTTGTCTTCTGGAGTCATATGAAGGGTAATAATAGATGTAATAGATGTCATAGTCTCTATTGCACATAATACCGTACATATTTTCTATGAAATTTTGTCTTGGGGTCCGCTACCGGCAGCGATCACGCACATTCTCTTGCATTTAAACAAAGTTTTCGGACGATTCAATGATTATTCTCTGCAGCATGACTTTATTAAACATGTTTAATTATTACTTGCTTCAGGACAACACTAGGAGAAATCTCTATACTACTGTGTTAGTACACGACTAGCATCCATAATATAATCCCTTTGTGTATTTGTGTATATGTGTACAGGGGTAATAGTTCTCACGAGTTTCAATAAAGATTTTTGTGGTCAAGCAGAGAGTATTAATACAAAAATGTTACAATTTCGATCTCGTGTTTCTTTGCGAGCTCATACATCGTGTATTAAATGATATTAATTGTCCATCTCTTGAATTCTGTAATTTCTAAATGTATTTTTTACGAAACGAAAGTATTTACATTTTTCAGATCTGCAGAAAGAATGTGGAGGGAGGTTCGATACTTCAAAATCAACTACGCTGAGTGTGAGAGATTTCGTTGTCTGTCTCAATCCGTCTTAGAGTAGCTAAATAGACAATTATGCACCCTAGGATAGCCCATAAAGCAAACTATCGTTTGGCGCGCTTAAAACATATGTACATCTGTACATACACACAAGAAATTGCTGTTAACGTATTTTTATTTTACTTAGGTCAAAACTACAATTAAAATAAATAATTTTACAAGTTAGGTGACGCTTTTTAAATCATAAACTTCATCCTCGGGCTGTCGCTGCCACATTGGCGGCCTGTTGAGCAATTCCCACAACCTGAATGGTGGCATCTCTGGTGTGCTGGCCAACGCGTTCCTAAGGATAATGATATGTGATATTTAAGGTTCTGTATGAATTATAGATCTGGTAATGTAATAGACTTACAAGTCTCTTGCCCAGTTTTTTCAGCCAGCCGGCTTCCGATTGGCCCACGCTGATGGCCAAAATAAGGGCAACAAAGATGAAGATCTTATAGAAGTTCATAATGAGATTCTTGGAGTATTGCTCGGATTGTAGAAAGCAGAAGTTGCTTATGCTGTTGATGTTGCTGGGAGAGGTGTGCGACTGATGACTTGACTACTACAAGAGGTTGCTTTTATAACGAGTTCCAACAGTCCGGCAGCTTTAAGCGATGCTGATAACCTGCAGTCGGGGATTTTGTCTGGCAAAAACGTACAAGAGAGGGATCGAATAAGATCGGAATCCCCCTAGCCAGCTAGACCGTTGTAAGCTAAGAGAGACTTGATAATGGTTGAGAGGGGAAATACATGAAGTAATACATGGTGTTCAGCATCTTTTCATTACGAGCTGACGGTAAAAACGTAAGTATTAAACGTGTTATAGTCAGAAAAGTAACAGGATGAATAATCCTTTTCCCAACTAATACTCGTATCTTGCTTCATTAGTCTAGGCGTATGTCAGTAGTAAATCCGACCTTAGATTGACGCAATGCCATATTTGAGCAAAGTTATGGTATTAGAATCACTGACAGCTGACAGAATCTAACACCTCACTGATAGAATTATAGTAGGGCTTATAAAATATACCAACATTTCTTTGAGTGTATAAAAACTATCGGTGTAATACTTTCATTGCCAAAGTCGAAACAGTTGATTCTCGATTTCATGGGATGCATAGCGAATTTTAGTAGGGTTCGTGCAAGTTACGTAGCAGTCGCATTACTAAATGTGTACAAAAACCGAAATAATAAAACATTAATTAGAGCTTAAAACCTGTACTGTATTGTGCGTTTAAATTTAAGACCAATGATTCCATGATGGAACAAGATTTGCAAAGACGAGAGACTACAGCTCAAATTATTTTATTTTATTGTGTATTACACTTAGGTAATGATTAAAGATTAATATAGCTCCTCTTCATCCTTTTGCTGTGGCTTCCACATTTGCAGCTTGTTGTGCAATTCCAAGACCCTGAATGGTCGCATCCCGAGTGTGCCGGCCAACGCGTTCCTGTGGAGAAACAGATGGCTTAGACTTTGAATAAATTATTTATTGGCCAGACGACTTACAATTTTCTTACCGATCTTCTTTAGCCAACCGGCCTCGGACTTTCCCAAGCTAATGGCCAGGTGGAGGGCAACGAAAACCAAGAGCTTGTAGTAGTTCATGATGAGATTTCTGAAATTATTCCTTATTAACAGCTGCGGCTGCTGCTGTGGGATCTGACCGACTGCTGACATTTCCAGATAACCAACAGACCTTATGTAGCGCAATCCGTCATGCCTTTAGCTCCAACCGATTCTGTCAAGGCGCTGTAGAGGTTTTGTCTTAAAAAAATTTACACGAGAGCAGTCCGATCCTACCGCTTCCGATTCGGATCACAGGAAACTTTTACACTGTCATTTCCTAGAGTACTGTGTAAAAAAATTTTTCGAGATCTTCAAGTCTTTGTTGCGTGAAGATGTCTGGGCAATGGCCCTAAAAGATGTGACCATAGAGAGTAAATGCCGTTTATTATTGTAATTAATTATCAGTGGGAATGGATGGTGGGATTGTTCCCTAGATCAGAGGTGATAGTGGGTTATTATTGTCTCCCTCTGTTAATAAACAGAGACTATACTCTAGAGATCTATTTATTTTCCCTCCTTTTATGAAAAGAATTTTTAGGGTATCCCTTGGATCGAATTCTACTTTGAGCATTGTCCCCCTAAAGACCTCACTCCCTCGCTTATTGAACATACGTACATACATATGTACTTATGTATACGAACTGCCTGCGGCAAAAGGTTGGCTAAAAATGGCTAAGGTTGGCACAAATTTACTAAGGAATGAACGGAAACTCAATCGAACGATAAACGAAATTTTAAAACTCTAAGATTGGTAATCAATACATCGATAGCTTTAATTTTCAACTTTTTTATGGAATACAGCTGGTTAAATAAATAAAATTATTTGTAATTAGGTGCGGAAACTTTATAGGTAATCTTCAGCCCCTGGCTGTGGCTGCTACATTGGCTGCTTGTTGAGCAACGCCCAGACCCTGGATTGTGGCATCCCGAGTGTGCTGGCCAACGCGTTCCTGTGGAGAAATATATATTTAGCCAACGAATGACTTAAATACTGGGCGGATAACTTACGATTTTCTTGCCAATCTTCTTCAGCCAACCAGCCTCCGATTCTCCCACGCTGATGGCCAGGATAAGGGCAACGAAGACAAAGATCTTGTAGAAGTTCATGATAAGATGGAATATATTCCTTGGGTTGTAGAAAGCAAAAGGTGCTGATAGATCTCGTTGCTGTGGTGCCAACTGAGCGACTGATGACTTTTCCAGCCAATCTGCGGAGCTTATATAGCGCAAATTATCATGCCATCAGCTCCACGCAATACTGATAGTGCGCGATCGGGGATTTTGTTTAGCACAAAAGTACACGAGACCGAATCGGATCGGAATCACCGTAGCTATGTAGCTATATGACCCTTTTTTGTTTTTAACTTGAGAATGGGAAATAATTTATATTCCTTCATATATCAATTTTACATATGTTACAATTCACCTAGATAGTAGATACTTAAAAATACAGGTGAACAAGATTTGATAAAGTTGAAAGTCTCTCGATTTTGGATTCAGGTCTCTCGACTCTGGATCCAGGTCTCTCGACTCTTGATCGAGTCTTTATCTTTGGGCTGTAGCTGCTTTTGTGCAATTCTTAGACCCGAGCATACATACATGAATACATGTGCATATATCCATTTCGGATATCCAACTAGATGTACATATATTCGAATTATTCAGCCTCGCCGCATCTCAGTTCGAAGCACCACCACGTGTAGTTTTTTTCTACAGGTGTTCCATATTTGATTTGAATTGTTTAACTATTATAGGCAGTGTAATGATGGAATAGTTAAAAGATATACAAAAATAAAGGGTCATTCTTTTAGTGTGAGGACAGTTTGCCTGCCGCGACGCAGAAACCGCCACTTATCATATAATCGTCAGGATGGCTTCAAAGATCAATATTGGCACTAGATATCATACAATGGTCATAGCTGACTCTCTGCGAACAATAACGCTGGTGGAGCACCACATATAGCATAAGGCAACTAATCCTCAAAATTATGAATAATCGAACTCTGATAAACTAAAAAAGGAAAGCATTAATTTTTAGCTGGTTTATTTACTTAGGTCAAGAAATACAGTTTAATAAAATAATGTTGAATGTTTATAATAAGGTTCGGGTCCCAATAGGTCCTTCATCCTCGAGCAGTGGCAGCTACATTGGCTGCTTGTTGAGCAACGCCCAGACCCTGGATGGTGGCATCCCGAGTGTGCTGGCCAACGCGTTCCTGTGGAGAAATATATATTTAGCCAACGAATGACTTAAATACTGGGCGGATAACTTACGATTTTCTTGCCAATCTTCTTCAGCCAACCAGCCTCCGATTCTCCCACGCTGATGGCCAGGATAAGGGCAACGAAGACAAAGATCTTGTAGAAGTTCATGATAAGATGGAATATATTCCTTGGGTTGTAGAAAGCAAAAGGTGCTGATAGATCTCGTTGCTGTGGTGCCAACTGAGCGACTGATGACTTTTCCAGCCAATCTGCGGAGCTTATATAGCGCAAATTATCATGCCATCAGCTCCACGCAATACTGATAGTGCGCGATCGGGGATTTTGTTTAGCACAAAAGTACACGAGACCGAATCGGATCGGAATCACCGTAGCTATGTAGCTATATGACCCTTTTTTGTTTTTAACTTGAGAATGGGAAATAATTTATATTCCTTCATATATCAATTTTACATATGTTACAATTCACCTAGATAGTAGATACTTAAAAATACAGGTGAACAAGATTTGATAAAGTTGAAAGTCTCTCGATTTTGGATTCAGGTCTCTCGACTCTGGATCCAGGTCTCTCGACTCTTGATCGAGTCTTTATCTTTGGGCTGTAGCTGCTTTTGTGCAATTCTTAGACCCGAGCATACATACATGAATACATGTGCATATATCCATTTCGGATATCCAACTAGATGTACATATATTCGAATTATTCAGCCTCGCCGCATCTCAGTTCGAAGCACCACCACGTGTAGTTTTTTTCTACAGGTGTTCCATATTTGATTTGAATTGTTTAACTATTATAGGCAGTGTAATGATGGAATAGTTAAAAGATATACAAAAATAAAGGGTCATTCTTTTAGTGTGAGGACAGTTTGCCTGCCGCGACGCAGAAACCGCCACTTATCATATAATCGTCAGGATGGCTTCAAAGATCAATATTGGCACTAGATATCATACAATGGTCATAGCTGACTCTCTGCGAACAATAACGCTGGTGGAGCACCACATATAGCATAAGGCAACTAATCCTCAAAATTATGAATAATCGAACTCTGATAAACTAAAAAAGGAAAGCATTAATTTTTAGCTGGTTTATTTACTTAGGTCAAGAAATACAGTTTAATAAAATAATGTTGAATGTTTATAATAAGGTTCGGGTCCCAATAGGTCCTTCATCCTCGAGCAGTGGCAGCTACATTGGCTGCTTGTTGAGCAACGCCCAGACCCTGGATGGTGGCATCCCGAGTGTGCTGGCCAACGCGTTCCTGTGGAGAAATATACATTTAGCCAACGAATGACTTAAATACTGGGCGGATAACTTACGATTTTCTTGCCAATCTTCTTCAGCCAACCAGCCTCCGATTCTCCCACGCTGATGGCCAGTATAAGGGCAACAAAGACAAAGATCTTGTAGAAGTTCATGATATGATAGTGCTTGAATATTTCTGGGACTAAAGTAAGCCTTGCTGGTGGTGTTTTTTAGAAAAGAATGCCATGTCTAGAAAATCTTTACAGCTTATATAGCCTTTCATATAGCCACCTTTCAGTCGCCCAGATCCAAGCGGTGCCGATAAGGTACGCGAGGGGATTTTCTCTGGCGGAAAGTACACGAGAGAAAATCAGATCACCCTAGACGATATTTTTGATTCATTCGGGTATGGCCAATAGGGGAAATACATGCCTTTAAGTATTCTGTTGTGTTATTTTGTTTTACATTAACGAGAGATTGTCGATTGGATAGTTCGCGTCATGAATATATTTATTTTCAACTCTCAAAGTTCAATGAAATCTCATCTTTCACGCAGTAAATACAAAATCAGCTCGATTCGTTTTGAACGAGAACAAAATTTATAACTCAAATTTCTTGACGAGCGCGAAAATAAGACGGTTCACTGGCACCATCTGTGGGCTTTGAGTTGAACCAGATGTCACAAAAACGCAACCCTGCACGTAACACACGATTTAAGCAGTATTTTCGAGATTTTGACGCTCTACGAAGGGTCTCATTGCAAGCGGCCAACACAAAAAAGAAAAATCAGATCAAAAATTCACTTGTTTCCGAGGGTGATAATATAATCACAAACAGTTTTAGGTGTCCCGTCCCCAAAATAATAGGATTATATCGATAGAGATGCAGTCGATACTATCGAATGTTTTGACAGCTCGACGACGTAAGGTCTTACTGGAAGCTACTCACTATTGTGTAATGAACCAATAAAGAAATTGTGTAGAAATGCCATTTAGATCCATGTACCAGGTCACATCGAATTCATAACAGCCTTGTCAAAAAGTTGATAACGGAGGTTTTCCACACTGCCGCTTTTATTGGGCTTATATGAAAGAAAAGGCGATCAATTTTAGAAACGTACACTTTTCCCCTTCAGGTGTCGCTTTTGTGTAGAAAATGTTTGGTTAGCATGTAGTTACCGTTTAGTGTGCTTTAACCTTATTTTATAAACAACCCAATACAGATGAGAACTTAAAGTTAGCCAGTCATGTAGGAAATTTATTTATTAATCGGATCCAATTATGAGTTGAGAGCTGAGGGTCCAAGCTAGCTGGGAATATTCAACCGAATATCGAAATCAAGAAATATGATTGAACTTGACTACAAACATTTCGTCAGTATATTTACGGTATATTTTGAAATTTGTGACGTATATTTTGGTATATTTCAGGCGGTCGGACGATATATTTTAACGATAAGTCCGCGGTCACACTCCACGGAAGCCGCTGTCAAAATTTCTTTCCTGTCAAAATAGTCGACAAAGGTGGTACAGAAATATCTAAAATCGTGAAAATATGCAGGAAGCGCAACGCAGTGGCTCAAAATAATGGGACGAAAAATAAGCCAAAGGCTTGCTGTTGAGAGATAAAAGTGAATGATAGTGAAATTGTCTGAAAATGTAGTCGATGCACAACGATTAGGAAAATCAATAGAGACGACCGAAGCGGCTTTTCGTGCACTGCGTTGCGTGGATGCAAATGTTTGAATTGTTTACTCATTGAGTTGGCGTGGTGTCCATTTGCAGATGGCTATCGGCTCCAAGATTATCAAGCCCGGCGGCGCGGACCCCGATGATTTCGAGAAGTCGATTGCCCAGGCACTGGTTGAGCTAGAAGCCAACAGCGACCTGAAGCCCTACCTGCGTGATCTGCACATCACCCGTGCGCGCGAGATTGAGTTTGGTAGCAAGAAGGTGAGTTCATGTCTATACTGGATGTGAAACTCTGACTAACTTGTTTACGTCTTCAGGCCGTCATCATCTACGTGCCCATTCCACAGCAGAAGGTGTTCCAGAAGATCCAGATCATCCTGGTTCGCGAGTTGGAGAAGAAGTTCTCCGGCAAGCACGTCGTGGTCATTGGAGAGCGCAAGATTCTGCCCAAGCCCACCCGCAAGGCGCGCAACCCCCTGAAACAGAAGCGTCCACGCTCCCGTACCCTGACCGCTGTGTACGATGCCATTCTGGAGGATCTGGTCTTCCCTGCCGAGATCGTTGGCAAGCGCATCCGCGTCAAGCTGGACGGCTCCCAGCTGGTTAAGGTGCACCTGGACAAGAACCAACAGACCACAATCGAACACAAAGTGAGTTTTAAGTCCGGTGGGAGTCTGTATCCCTATCAGTGCTATCTTGTGGTGCGTGTAACAGTTACATCTTCGTCCCCGTGTTATTTGCGACGCCTTTTCCAAGCGTTGCGATCGTCAAAGGGGACGCACATCACCAAGTGCCAATAACTCGTTATTGTATGCCACAGACGCGTTTTGCGGGCTTGCATCTCCATATATTGGCCACAGTCTGGTACCCTTGACCGTTCTTGTGTTATTCGCTAGACTTACCTTCTAGTCCAGCGATTGTCAAACAGAACGTACACTAATCCCAGGCAACTACTCACTCCACAATGATTAGCCGACAATAGACAAGGCTTCATCATTACTAAATGTTTGCCACATTTCTAAACCTCTATCGTGTCAAATAGTTCCTTATATCCGCCGTTCTTGTGTTATTCACTGGACTCACCTTATAGTCCTGTGATTGTCAAACAGAACGTACAGTAAACTCAAAGCAACTACTCACTCCACAATGAAAAGTCGACTATAACCAAGGCTTCATCATTACTAAATGTTTGCTACAGAGTAATCCCACTAGACTATCCACCGTTTTTGTGTTATTCGCTGAATGCCCATCTTGGCCTAGTGATTGTCAAACAGAACGCACATTGAAGACCAGGCATCTGCTCTCACTCCACAATGTTATGTCCATTATATCCAGGACAACTACATTACTATTAGCGTGCCACAACACCACAAACTATGCACACTGATTACCGCCCATTTGCCTCCCGAGCACCGATTTGTTCATGGTGTCTTGGGACTTCCTATATTGGCGGCATAGTAATCCAGCCTTTCGTGCGTATTCCTTCGCTGCAGTCTATCTTGCCGCATCGAGGAGCATGACGACTGGACACTTAATTTAGATAACCCCAGTATGCCTGAAACTAATCTGGAATTATTTGTTCTTCCTCCAGGTTGATACCTTCACATCGGTCTACAAGAAGCTGACTGGCCGCGATGTTACCTTCGAATTCCCCGACAACTACCTGAATGTCTAGAGTGTGTTCGTCGCCGTCGCGCTGGTTCGGTTCATCTAAAAGTCGCAGCAATGCAATTCTGTCGTACAGAATATGAATTTTTTACATGAGCTGGATAACGTAACGTGAAATAAATAAAACATTAAACATTTTTAAAACTTAGCAAATCGCAATTAACAGAACTGTAATTGCTATATCCTGTAATTCATCACTTCCGCCGCTGGCTGTGGTTATAAGATTTAAGATTAAGCATGTATCAGTCGACTTTGTAATCCACGACGTCCCCGGCGATGTGGAACATCTTATGATTAAGTTCAGCCATAGGAGGCGTCACTGGGTCCTGTTACTCCACTGGGGCGGTGGTGTACGCCATGCGATGTTTAATCACATCTTTAATTAGAAAGTTCACGGCGTGCTACCTTTATACCCGCTTTCTTTGGGCTTAGACCTCCTGCGACAGATGTGTGTCTGGAAAGGGATTAATCTTGTGGGTGGCGGGTTTTATTTGCAATTGCAACGAAATTCTCACGTTACACATCCAAATATTCATATGTGTTAGCACTACTTTCATCTGGCCGGGTGTGGCACCCAGGGGGTGGGAACGGAACGGGATTATAGTTCTATTGCATGAACGATTACAGGTTACGGTAGTAAGCTTTCAAAAGCTCTGTGTTGTGGCGTTGTTCTTTCTGTGGTGCAGTAAAAACCCTGTAGATTGTAACCTTAATTTACGGTTTTAGCTTTTCTACTGAATACAAAAAAATATAATATTTTTAATTAATCAATATATGGAAGAGTTTCATCCATAGCTAGATACTTTACAACTCCAAGATCTAAAACCCTAAAATAATGATATAGCCTATGTCGATCATGAATCACCATGATCGAAACGATTTTTAAATTAATAAGCAAGTGAAGTTAGCAATCTGGACTTTAGTTTGATGTTAAAAATTATTTGGGAGTTGTGGATTGTGGTTGCTATTTAATTGATTGCAGTTTTGAAATTCAATTAGAACTGACCACAAAATCACGCAATTCAACAATTTCGAAATTTAATACGAGGAAGGGCGCAAACAAAAGAACTCAGAGGGTAGGTGAAGCGACAGGAGTGACACGGACATCAACATGAACGTGGCATGGCTTTAAGGTCGAGGCAACGAATAAAGTAAAAAAAATTGTTTTTGGCCACAACACGAGCTTCATGTCAATTTCAGGGCGCAGACAAATTATTGTTTTTCTGTTCGCTGTGTCTGTTATTTGGCTGATGAGCGGGAATTCCAAGAGGGAGTTCTTGTGGTCTGGGGTGCGTTTCAATGGCGGCGCCGAGACAGGTGGTTTGATGACAGGTTGTCGCCGGAGTGAGGGCATGCCAGTATCGGCTATTCCATCTAAATGACTCCGCCGGGTGATCTATTATTGATGTTTCCTAATTGTGGGTCATTGGAGGGGGTTCGGTTCAGCCTTGGGTATGCGAATGCGTAATTCCGTCTTGAGCCAACTTTATTTCATGCTCTAATTAAAACGCTCCTCCCACACACACAGCCAAAGAAGTGTTGGATTAAGGACACTTTGTATGTAGATTTTATTGGACATGTGCTTGAGGGAAAAATGTTTATGACAGTCGCAGTAAGGTTTGGTTTCTCCCATACATTTATCCCATCGGGTGTTGGTGGGGCTCGGAGTTGGCTGCCCTTTTGACAAATTAGGTCATTCCCTGCTGCTGTTGCTGTTGCTCCTAGTGGCGTCGCTAGTCTGAGTCACGATTTTTTTAATTTCTTAGCAGACTGTTTCTATAACCAGCAACTAGTATTTTGGCAGCAATCAGTATGATGCAGTACAGCACGAATAGCACATCAGGCTTTAAGAGTGTCCAGATATCATTTTTGCAGCGATATTTCCATTATGTATTTTTGTATACATATACATATGTATGTACATACTATGTACGTACACTGACCAGAATAAAAACAAACTTGTGGTGCAAATTTTGTCGTTAAAAAACACGTGTTTAAAAAACGATAGAATCTTTAATTACTTAGGAATAATAAACTATTTTTCATGCTCTATTTTGATTAAACTCCTTTGTATCTAACATATGTGTACACTATTCTTAATACTATATAACAAAAAATGTAAAAAGTTGTCTGATATTCAATTAAGATATATTTTTTATACCCGATACTCAAAATGAGTATTGGGGTATATTAGATTTGTGGTAAAAGTGGATGTGTGTAACGTCCAGAAGGAATCGTTTCCGACCCCATAAAGTATATATATTCTTGATCAGCATCAATAGCCGAGTCGATTGAGCCCTGTCTGTCTGTCCGTCTGTCCGTCCCCTTCAGCGCCTAATGCTCAAAGACTATAAGAGCTAGAGCAACGATGTTTTGGATCCTGACTTCTGTGATATGTCACTGCTATAAAAATATTTCAAAACTTTGCCCCGCCCACTTCCGCCCCCACAAAGGGCGAAAATCTGTGGCATCCACAATTTCAAAGATACGATAAAACCCGAAACGCAGAATCGTAGAGAATGATCATATCTTTTAGACTGCAGAATCTGAATTGGATCGTATTATTATTATAGCCAGCATCAAGAAAACAATTTCATTATTTCTCACCCTGTCTCTCTCTAACACACACGCAGTGGCTACGCAGCGCCCGACGTGACACTCAGACTGATTTTCTGTCTCCATCGCACGCACTCTTTGTCGTGTCGTTTAATATTAGCGGCGTCTGCCGGAGGAGAGCCATACTGACTTAGTATCGGGTATAACTGTAGAGTTGCGGTGTCCGCAGCAACTCACAACGTTCCCCCTCGTTTTTAATATGTGAATATCGAATACCCTTTACATTTTATTACATCGGCCAGCCGTTTTAGCATTGATTCGACCAATTTCTTCCCATTCTATACCGTCACTTGACGCTATTCTTCAACAATGATATTTTTCAACATATCCTTTAATGTAGTGGGGATTTTCGATGGAATTTGCGGAGGCGTATTCAAGAGATTTTTAACTTTGTATTCCTAGCAACCAAGCTTTGTATTACGGGCTTCGGTCCTAATTTCGTGGTGTATGTATGAACGATATTTCTCTGCGCAGCTGAAATTGGAAAGAAGCTATCAGCTTCAACTACTCCAAAGTGTACACTTTCATTCAGGGGAGGGACGGGGAAAGGCCTTTACTCTCCACATAATCAAAGTTGGGTAAAGTTGCCGTTCCACGATGACTCCCGCATGCCAGACGGTTGCTGATAAGCTTCCCATAAACCGTAAACCACCGAAGAGAACTACTATGTACATAAGTACATACATATGTATGTACACATATTTATATGACCGTCCGCGAGAGTGCCCATACGTACATATGTATGTGTGTGCATTGATGATCGCACAAGTACCGTCCAGAGGTTAATTCTCTCTCCCAAAAAGTTTTCTATATTTATCCAGTAATGCCGTTGCATCATCATCGTTTTGGTCCTCCTGCCTCAGAGGTCATTCCTGGGCATATGCATGCAATATGAAAAGCGATCGCTTGAAAGAATTAAAAAAGCATCATTTGATATGTTGTGATAACGTCAACATTCGGTTTCCGGTCGGCTCGAAACGAGTTTGTTTCTCTCTATTACTCTTTCTGTACGCATGTGGCTTTGCTGTCTCCGTATTCTTAGCGTGGAAATAAAAAATGGGAAACAAATAAACAGAATAGGTAGATAAAAGCGGTAGATTATGATGCGTGGAAGGGGATGAACGGGGGAAAGAAGCAACAAACAAAAGACAGATGACGCGAGATGGAGAGCAGAAATGCGCTCTCTCGAAAAGTATGTTATAAGCAGCGACTGGGGGAACTTGGCCGATATTTAAGAGCTTTGGGATCATACACGATGACGAAATGCCTCTACCACATTTATTCCCCCACACACACACAAGGCTACAGCCGGCTTTGGGGCTGGAGACTGCCAGCGTATGCGTTGCGTCGATTCCGCAGTCGCGGTTAGTGCTGACACCTACTCATATTCTACTACCCTGCAGCGATAAAGATATATTCACTTTGATGTGCGCTAGAGGAATATTATAAGATCTAGAAGCAACGAGCAATGTTTGCCAGTTTAATGGTGTATCAATTAATCACTTGCAACTACACTTGCAATCAGATTGTCGTTCCACCATACGACGCTCTTTGATTCATGACGAACGACAAAAAAGTGTATCCAATATTCGCTCACGGGAGTGCTATTTCGTTGTATGGTTTCTTATGGAAAACATTGACTTTGAACTATGCACGCTACCAAGGTATATGAAGATATAGGTTAGGCAAAAAGTCAACATACGCTCGAATACATATGTATGTACACATGCATGTATATGTTTCGTCATCCAAAGAGTGCCAAAGAGAGCCAAAGAGTGATGTAGAAAGGGTGGTTATATGGCTCTCTTACCTTCTTATTAATATTCCTTATGTTCTGCGAGTGTGTTGTTTGTGTAATGTTTACGGAATGTCTGAGCACAACAGAGAATGATAAACAGCTCGAAGAACGAACGCGTTAGCGTTAGCGGGTTGAAGGGGAGAAAAGGGCAAGTTGAAGTGGTAGATAATAACTGTAGACGCAGCCGCAGCCGCGTTCCAGAGAGCAGAGAGAGGGAGCGACTTCCACCAACAAATAAACTCAAATAAAAATTGAATGGTCTTCACCGCTCCACCGCAGTTGCCGTCGCAGCTGGCGTCGCTACTATAGGGGCCAGAACTATCGGCGACAGCGACGCCGACTACACCAGCCACAGCTCTTGGATGTAAATGTCGACCGTTGGGGCGTTGTTAGTCATTTCGTTTCGTTCGCTCGCTTGGTCAACATATCCCCAGAGCAGAAAAACTGAGAATCAAAAAACGCGACGCCGCCGCTGCGTATCAGTCCTAACGGTAGTTCCGAAGCTTCCTCCGCGTTACGCTATAGCAGTCTCAGACTCAGTTGTTGCAGAAAACCAAGTACGTGGAGCAGTGTCAGATATCGGTGCAAAGCTCCGCAATCTCGTAACGTAAGCTATTTTTAAGAACTTGGGAAAAAGTGTGCGTGACGTCAGCGTGCGTTCAACGCGGGAGCAGCATAATCTTCGCCATAGGAACGCAATTATTCATCCGTGTCCCAACTTTTACTCGCGCTCGTTCTCCTATTG